CCGTCGGCGGTGAAACCAACACAGGACAGGCGCTGCGCTACGTCACACGCCACGGATTCTTGAGTGCACCGATCTTCGCCGACGTCGCGGACGACCTCCCGCGCGTGGTGGTGCTGCTCACTGCCACCCCTGCTGCCGACGAGGTGGTACTGCCTTCTAAATACGCAAGGGACAGAGAGATCTTTCTTATAGCGGTGGGACCGGAATTCTTGAAAGAACAGCTGAACAACATCACAGGAAATCCCCAAAGGACTCTCACCTACTCATTACCTGACAGGCTGAATGCCAAGATTCCTGAGCTCAAGGCCAAAATCTGCAGCGTGGACCAACAAGGTGATGATTTACGCCGTCAAAATCTTAGATTTTGATTTATTACTTCTTAGCTAATACCACTCCGACCTGCCTCGAATAAAATATTCAAAATAAAAAAAAAACTAAAAGTAGTGAAGTAGCAAATTTAGACCATACAACTGTGTGGAAAAATTCCCCAAAAAACATTTACTCTTCCTCCAGGTTGCCTTGGCCAGGCAGTCGACCTGGTGTTTGCTGTGGACGCCTCAGGTGGCGTCAGCGCGGACAACTTCTCCATCCTGCTGGACTTCATACGTACCCTAACTGTCCAGTTCGACATCAACCGCGACGTGGCCCAGGTGGCACTCGTGGTATACGGACGAAGACCCACCACCGTCTTTCACCTGGACACCTACGAGACGGGCTCCGCCATCCTGAAGGCGGTGGGCGACGCTAACTACCAGGGCGGAGCGGCCTCCACCGGCGCCGCTCTACTTCACATCCACTCCCATGTTCTGACTGTGGCCAAAGGGGCGCGACCCGGCGTCAACAAGGCCGTGGTGGTGCTCACTGACGGTTCGGGTGCAGGGGACGCTGTGGTGCCAGCGCAGAAGATAAGAGACAACGGAGTTTCACTGTTTGTGGTCGGCACTGGAGATGTCCAGAGGGAGAAGCTCCTGCAGGTCGTGGGATCAGAGGAGCACATGATCACTGCACCTTCTTATGAGGACCTCAAGTACTTTGAGGACGTCCTGGTGCAGATGCTGTGTTCTGGTGAGTAGGAAAGGAATTCTGGAAATTTTTTTTAAAAATCATTGAAATGAATACATTAAATAGATTCAAATGTATGTTTCATTCTGGAGTGCTGCTAAAAAACACACACTGACAGATGTATAAACCAACCTGTGAACTAGATGAAATCTACTTAATTTTATTTCATTTTTTAGGCTTTGTTTTCTTTACCATCAATGGATTAAAGTTTAAAAACGCCCTCCTCCAACATCTCCCAGATACAGGAAGTCCTTGTCCACAGTTGGTTTAGTTGTTTATAGCTGAATAAAGCCAAACAAAGCAGGTCGCTTACAAAATAAGACATGAACTTCCTGAGGAAGGGAGCACTGGGTCAACTACTGTACTCCTCTCTGCTAGTACAAAAACATTTTTTTGTCTGATTTGAGCAACATGGGTGAGAGTATTGAATATTGAAAACTACACAAACTTCCTGTTAGATTATGTCATATAAACATGTTATCAAAAGCTATGTTATGTTAAAGCATGTTGTAGTATGTACAATGTAGAATGTTTTTTTGTAGAATTCCCTGCAGCATGTTCTCTCTGTTTGTTTGTGTTAGCAACCACATGAAAAAAAAAACCCCCAAAAAACGTATTCCTTTGACATAAATATTTTCTATGGTCTTTTCATTATCAATCAGAAATAAAGAAGCCAGTAAACCTGTGCAGCCCAAACCCGTGTATGAACGATGGCAAGTGCATCCTGTCGGGGGTGAGCTTCCGCTGCCAGTGCCGGGGCTTCGAAGGACCGCACTGTGAAAAAAGTCAGTGTCTTTTGTAATAAAAAACCTTTCTCTCCTTTTCATTCTTAACACCTTTCTCTGATTTCTTAGATTTAAAGAAAGATTTCTCTAACGTACTGTTGCATGGGTCGCCGTCAAGGCTGTAGCGTTATTGTTGATTTCCTAAAATTATCCCTGGGATGTTAAACAAATCTGGAAAGAATGTTCCTCAGTGATCACTGCTGGTTAGTGAGCTCTTGACAGAGCTGACAGTTAATGAAAACCCACAGCTGGAGGCCACAAACTCATGAATGTGTATTTACCTACTTCCTGAGTCAACAACCTTTTCCTTGCAACCACTAACTGTTGCCCCCTGGTGGCTATTCTTTTTTTTTTCTGATTTGCTTTGCAGAAAGACGGAGTTCTTCAACCAGGGGAGATCTCCCAAGGCCCGCTGGTCTCAGAAGAAAAGTCCGACCGAAGAAAAGCCACCAGGAGCTGCTGCATCAATACAAACTGCACCGCCGGAGGCACGCTGCCTGACATACGTCAACACACATTACATTATATTCACAGTAACTTTTAAACTCGTGGACTCTTGAGAACTGAGGACGTTGGTGTCGTTGGATGAAAGGGAAAATGGATGTTTAATTATTTAAACCGCACCTGGTGCCTCCTAACTGTATGTCTCGACTGCTGCCTCGTATGTTACCAAAGATGTAAACTTTTATACCATATATGTATATCTGCGTCACTTTGTTATTGTCCATTCATTACAGTCCTTGTTTTATAGTACTAAAAAAAAGTTTATGCGGGGTTGACAGTTAACAACTACAATGTGTCTTAAAAGGCGGGGATTTGAACCCACATCTTCTGCACCATTTTGCCATGGATAATGAAGTATGAGTTGTGAAACCTCTGCGTCAGGTTTGTTTCGTTTAAATCTCTTTTTAGACTTCAGGGTTTTTTTCATCTGTTGTGTAAATACACGCCATGTATTGCTTTTAAATTGTGCTAATAATATACTAAAAATTCATCAATTACCGTTGTGTTTTGACAAACCATATTCTACTGCTATTCAAATGTAATGTAGCGCGATGGTAGGATTAAAAAGTATACATAAAAAAAACAATCTGAAATTAAGATTACAACACCTGATTTTTTTTTTATGTGAAGCAATCGTAAATGTATATAAACAGTCAACTTTTTTCTAACATTTTTATTTGAATAAAAAGTGCATGTCTAGCTAGCAATACAAGCCAAAAGGCCAAGTAATGGTGTAAATATATTTACATCTTGGCTACCAGCATATATGAACCAAGCTACAAGAAGTGTACAAATAGGCCATTAAAGTAAAGGGGCTTCTGTACGCAGGTCTCCCACCGCAGTGGGTTCACATATTTGGCATGATAAAGAACAATTGTTAGACTGGCCAAAACGCTACTTCAAATTCCTCCTTCAAGCAATTAAAGAACATACTAGAACTTTCAAAGTCATTAAATCCAATATGATCCAGTGGTATTTGGAAACACAGCTTGTGCCCTGCTGCTATGTTCTCCCCCTCGTAGACTTTGGCAAGAAGGTGGTGAAGATGAAAGATCCGGAGGAGGCAGGGGGAGGGATGTTGACCGTTCAAACTTGGCAGGACATTGAGGACCAAAGGTTTCCTTCTCCTAAGTGGATGATTTCTTCTCCCATTCCTGCAAATGTGAAACGAGGCGGTAACAGAATGTGATTCATGATGCGGCTTTGTCTTTCAGGAACCTCCGGCCTCACCTTGGCTTTCTGAAGGACGTTGCCCTTGGTGCTCATCATTGAGGTCGGTCTGCTCTTTAGCGCCGAGGCAGAGTTAACCGGCGAGGCTGGATCGGCACTGTGGTTGCTGCACGAGTTCTGGGACGACGAAGACGATGATGATGACGGCGATGGTGACGATAGAAATGATGACGATGTTTGGGGAGTAGGCAGAGATGCGGTTTTAGTCTGAGGGTAAGAGAACGGAAGGAGATTCTCAGTGTCGCTACAGTACTTATTTTCTCACTGTACTAGTTTATTTTTTTTGTCAAGTGGACAGCTAAAGGATAGGAGCCCAAAAAATATTATAATATTACTGTAAAACTATTGCTTTGAGACATTTCTTGTAGTCGGTATCCTGCAACAAAATGTATTTGCATTCTCAAGTAAAGATCTAAGAAAAAAGAAAAGGATCAACTAACAATAAGTAATAAGCTTTGTTTTCATGCAAAAAAGAAATCATTTAATGAAATACATCAACATGTAATGTTTGTGCCATCAAGTGGGCCAGATTGAACCCCCTAGCGGGCTGATTCCGGCCCGCGGGCCGCATGTTTGACACCCTCGCTCAAGCCGTCGTTCCATTAAAGCACTGTTCCTCTGAGACCGAGGCGGCTCACTCACCGTGGGTGTGTCTTGAAGGCTGCTGTCCAATGTGGTGCCCAGTGTGAACGGCCCTGACTCCACCTTCTTCAGACTTTCCTTCACCTCCACCAGGCGGAGCTCCACCTCCACCCTGCGGTGCTCGGCCTCTTTGCAGGCCTCCTCCTTCTGCTTCAGCCAGGCCTCCAGCGCGGCCTGCTGCTTGGGGTCTGAGAGAAACATCAGAGTGTCAGACGGACCTTGGTTTTCGTCATCACAGGTGCCGCGGCACTGTACGTTCACAGCATCTGAACCTTGGCAGGCACTCAGCTCCTCCTTGGCCTCCCTCTTCTCCTTCTTCAGGTTTGCCAGGCTGCTCCGCACCTCCTCCCTCTCCTTCTCTAAGCGGTCCCGCTCGTCAATGTAGCGCCGCAGGTCTGCTTCCGTGCGGTTTTTACCCAGTTTCACCTCAACTGCACCAGTACAACCTGGAGATGAGATGTGTGGAACTTTAAATCATGTCATTTGTTTTAATGTGTCAATAGATGGAATGATTACCATAAAGCAATGATTGTTATTTTTTTAAATATAAAATAAATAATCTCTTCAAACTTAAATCTGTCTGCAGGGGATGACAAATTCCACTAGATGGCGCTGTGGTAGTTTGTGACAAACTAAAAACCTGTCAGAAGTGTTAAAATGGCTTTTTACAACTGACTAACAAAAAGTTTTGTTTAAACCATTAATACTAATACTCTCTCTCTCTCCCTCCCCTAGTGCAGAGTCTCTCACCTAAGGTATGGGCCTTGGGCCGCAGTGGCTGGGGACTGCGGGAGAACCCAGCAGCCGTGGAACCACCTGTGGGTCCCTTCTGTCCCCCACAGGGGCTGAAGGCCTGTGGGATCTCCACACTTGTCTTCTTGGGTGTCTCCTGGCCTGGAGGACTGGCTTTGACTGGCTCTGTTTGGGACGGTAACTGTGTGGGACTCTGAGACAGGTGTTCCTGGTCGTTCACTGCAGAAGTTGAACTCGTCCCGTTTGGTGTGGGCGTCGTCTCTGCCTCAGATGAGTTGGTGAAGCTGACCTAACAGCAGTGAAAGAATGTAGCATGATTCAATAGATGGATGGATGGATGGATGGATGGATAGATGGATGGATAATGGATGGATAGATGGATGGATGATGGATGATGGATGGATGGATAGATGGATGGATGGATGGATGGATGGATGGATGATAGATGGATGGATGATAGATAGATGGATGATAGATGGATGGATGATAGATGGATGGATGATAGATGGATGGATGATAGATGGATGGATGGATGGATGGATGGATAGATGGATGGATGGATAGATGGATAGATGGATAGATGATGGATGGATAGATGGATGGATGGATGGATGGCTGGAGGATAGATGGATGGATGGATGGATGGATGGATGGATAGATGGATAGATAGATGGATGGATAGATGGATGGATGGATGGATGGATAGATGGATGGATGGATAGATAGATAGATAGATGGATGGATGGATGGATGGATGGATGGATAGATAGACGGATGGATGGATGGATAGATGGATGGATGGATGGATGGCTGGAGGATAGATGGATGGATGGATGGATGGATAGATAGACGGATGGATGGATGGATAGATGGATGGATAGATGGATAGATGGATGGATGGATGGATAGATGGATGCATGGATGGATGGATAGATAGATGGATCGATGGATGGATGGATAGATGGATGGATAATGGATGGATAGATGGATGGATGATGGATGATGGATGGATGGATAGATGGATGGATGGATAGATGGATGGATGGATGGATAGATAGATGGATAGATAGATAGATGGATAGATGGATGGATGGATGGATAGATGGATGGATAGATGGATAGATGGATAGATGGATGGATAGATGGATAGATGGATAGATGGATGGATAGATGGATGGATGGATAGATGGATGGATGGATGGATAGATAGATAGATGGATAGATGGATGGATGATGGATGATGGATGGATGGATAGATGGATGGATAGATGGATAGATGGATGGATGGATAGATAGATGGATGATAGATAGATGGATGATAGATGGATGGATGATAGATGGATGCATGGATGGATGGATAGATAGATGGATCGATGGATGGATGGATAGATGGATGGATGGATAGATAGACAGACTACACACCTCTTCATCTTGACACAAGAGCTCTTTCTTTTCCTCCTCTTGGACTACTGTGTCTTTGCACGGTGAGACTTTAGAGCCGCCGGACGTGTGGAGAAAAGAGCGGACAGGAACCAGGTCCAAATAAATCCTGCTATCTGTTTCCTGCTCCGTCTTAACCGGTTCTTTGGCTTCACTCTGGTCCTGATGGCTCTTGTCCTCGGTGCTTGGTGGACTGCTTTCTTCAGCATCCTGTGTGTGGATATCCAGTTGAGATGACTAAGAGTTAGAAACAAAATGCAGTAAAAACCTGCAGCAAATACACAACTGGTGATTTGACTAAATCTGTTAAAGGTTTGAAGGAGTTTGAGTGCCCTGTTGAATTTGTTTTATTTTTTTTTTGCAAAGGGCTCGGGCAGTAAAAACTGACGTGACAAAGTCATTTCAAACACACCTCTGGATCAGCTAGTGAGGCCACGTCATCGTACAGTTCGTCTGCATTTTGAGTGACGCAGGGCTCAGTGTCTATGTAGGTGTTTGGCTCCGAGTATCTCCTCTGCATCAAACTGAAAAGACAAGACATTTTTGATAAGATACAAGCCAACCAGAACACCATCTCTTCAAGAAGAACTCCACAAATGAGAAGTTTACTATAAGGAAGTCTTGGCAGCATTCACGATGGTGGAAATCCTCTCTGCGTTGACGTAGTCGTACGTCAGCTCCTCCGGGTCGGTTTTTGTGCCAGTTTGTGAGAGCAAGAGGCCGAGCCAGTGACCCATGTCTGCTGAGGTCTTGGCCTGGAAGGAGATGGACAGAGGATGTAGGGAATGTAGGGAAGTGATGACTGTGCTAGGCGCTAGTTTTCAGCTCTTTTTACAAGTGTAATTTAGAAGACGCTAAATAAGGTTTTTGAAGTACGCGTGGGCTGTCAAAAAAAGAGAGAAACACAACTGTCAAAAACAGGCCTGGAAACTAAACACTGAATTCCACTGCCTATGACCTCATGCGCTCGGCTGCAGGGTGGAACTGGAAGACTAATGAAAACGGATAAAGTGGTTTGTAAAACACCTCCACCCTTAACACACACATTAAAAACACATAGGATCGTAGCTCTCATTTACATTGTAGTATAACATTTGAAAGGTGCCATTTCTCTCATCAGGAGCCGGGATACGGCGCAGCGTGTTTTTCTCCAGACAAGTTAAACTGCTGCTTACGTGTGAGGACAACAGGCAGAGTGGCAACAACAGTGTGTGTGACGATGAGGTAAGCTCTAATTTGAGGACAGGAAGGATCCTGCATGTATGCTCCAACCACATATTATGCTCCGTTCTATAATAATCTTTGCTCAACTTTTTTTTTTTTCCAGCCTTGAAATTACTGTCACAGTTCGCCTCAGTTAGCGGCGAGAGCTCGGAGAGTCGGCCTGGTGACACTGTACCTCCAGTGCTGCAACCTGCGTGCCGTCCATGTCGATCCTGAAGGAGTACAGGTGCTCAGGGCTGGGGTCCGGCAGAACGCTGCAGCCCTCCAGCGTCACCGCCGGCTGGCTCACTTTGTTCTTGTTCTTGTCCTGGTAGAACCACAGCTGACCGTTCTTCAGGAGACACCAGCAGGTTCGCCACTGGCTGTTCACCAGTACGTTGAGGTAGCCTGACGGGGGTGTGTGACGGCCTGGTTAAATACTTATCACGGCCTGTACTAATCACACACACACACACACACACTTATATCCTCACCTGAAGTGTCGAAACCTTTCTCAGGAGTTTCCAGTGAAGAAGGTTTTTTCTTGCCGATGTTCATGAGGTTGCTGAATTTTAAGCCTGCGCCATATTTTTTCTTCACTGTGAAGACAAGAGAAAAAAAATATACAGTGTTTCTCAAAGCGCGGGTCGGCCCCCACTGGTGGGACGCGGAGATGAGACAGGTGGGGCGCAACAAACGGGTCGAGCGATGATGGCACAGCAGCACTGTTTTCTTTCTCTTTTTTGAACTTGATTTTGATTTCGTTAAAATATAAATATTATTAAAAACTTTGAGAACCACTGGGTTGATACATACAGTATCCAGATATGAACCACGTTGGTGAGAGTTAGGGTTAATGACAACTCACCATCTCGGGTGTCAGGGCTTTCAACATGGCTGTCGGTGCTGCTGCCACTCTCGGACGCCACCGAGTGTCTCTCGCTCAACTCTCCCTGTGGAAGCATTTATTTGGACTTAGTCTCATAAAGGAACTAGCTTGATAATAATCAGGAAGTGGAGATACTAGCCCAGCCTACCTTGCTACAGATAAGCCTCGGGGAGTCCGTCCCGGAGTCGAAGTTCTCAGCCGGCTTGGGACTGATTTCCTGAATCACCTGAGAAAGAACGAGACGTTTAAAGACCTATTATCTGTGACACCAGCCCTGCAGCAATCACAGCTCAGACTTTAAAGTCATTTTCACGACCCCACGCGTTTCGTGGAGCTGCTGTTGTTAGATCCCCGACAAGCTCTCACAGGTCCGTCTGAGGGAACCGAAGTTCCTTCAGACGGGCAACGGTGGCATTTTGGTAAACACTCAGACATAATGTGGGATGATTGCAGTGTTGACAAAGCTGCAGCCTGTGACGGCACGTCATTGAAATCATTAGAAAACCCCGCACCGTCATTAGTACTGTCAGGTTGGAGCGGAGGTAATGAGTCACCGCAACGACAACACAACTGCACAGCCGCAAGAGCACAATGTCATCTGAGAGAAAAACAGGCGGCAAATTACAGAGACACCGGATTAATTGACCGCATCGCGAAGCTGCAGATGAACAGGCGTGAACATGTCACAGCCACGGATGAAGCCCAAACAAGGGTTGAACTGAAACCCACTCAGATACATATTAACCACCAGGCAAACTGTAGAAACAAATCAATGAACGTTCTATTTTCTGTTTCGTTTTTTCATTGAGGAACAGATAATGTAGGAGCTGTTGTTGTTTTTGTCCTGTTATTTAAAGCAGCGGCTGGTAAACAACAAGTCGCTTTGCGATGGCGTTCGTATTACCGCCGACGAAAATATTACGACAGCTAAAGATGTGTGTTTTTATGTTTATGTATCATCAGCCAATCAGCAACAATCACGGTCCTCCACGGTGACCTCCTTGTCGTGCGATACCACCACTGACCACTAGACCATCCATACAGACCGTAGCTTTTACCTTCAGCCACTGCTCCGTCTGCTCCTTGCTCTGAAGGCCCAGCACTATGGCCTCCCCTCCGACCGGGGTGATCTTCAGCTTGTGCTCCTTCTTCTTGGGTTGCTTTTCTTTGTAGACCACCGTGCAGCCCAGCAGGCTCACGTCCAGCAGGGGGGTCTGCTCCTTGGAGCTCTTGTAGCACTGACGGGACAGGCAAAACGTGTACGTATAACTGGTGTCACTGCAATGCTTTTGTGTTTGACGTTTGACCCACCATCAGGCGATGCTCCTTGATGACACACAGCTGTTTCGCCCACTGGCCGAGCCACTTCTTCCTCCACAGGAAGGCGCAGATCCGAGCGTCCTTCATCAGCTCGATGGAGGCCTCTGCCGACGGCCACTGGTGCTGCGCTGACTTCCCTCTGCTCACTTCCTCCTCGTCGTAAGACTCATACGAGCTGCTGACAGCCTCGCCGTCATCTGGAAGCAGAAAAAAAAAATCTTTTTAAGGTAAGTGATTCACAAGTTCACAAGTTCACAAGTTCATGTGAGAAACTTGTGAACCCGTAACCATTCGGACATACTTTAAACTGGGTGTCAAACACCTAGACCTAATAC